TCTCTATACCCCACCCTATCCTATACCCCACCCCATCCTATACCCTAACCCATCTATACCCCATCCTATCATATACCTCACCCCATCCTATACCCCACCCTATCCTATATCCCACCCCATCCTATACCCTACCCTATCCTATATCTCACCCCATCTTATATCCCACCCCATCCTATACTCTATCCCATCCTATACCCCACCCCATTCCCATACCCTACCCAGTGCCCCTTACTTTTGGACCCATAAAGAATCTGGCAGGCAGTGGCCCTCGAATCTGTGTTTTGCGGGGGCAGACTGACAGGTGGTTGTGGGGGAATGTCATGGTTGGACTGCCGTGATTAGTAGCAGCCCTGGGTGCTCAGGATGGAGTAGGATAGGTACTCTGAGATAGGGAGGGGACTCAGGCTCTGTTCTGTCTGTGTGGATCTGACTGACAGGGCACAGGCAGCGGGGTATATGTGGCATAGCCACTACCTGCCAGGCTGTTACGGCAGGGACACAGGCCTCACTGGAGCTGGGGAAAGAGCCTATTGGTGTCCAGGAAATGTCATTCCCTAACTACGGTCTCAGCTATTTCAAGTTTTCTCTCTCTCTCTCTCTCTCTCTCTCTCTCTCTCTCTCTTAATTTTCAAGACAGGGTTTCTCCGTAGCTTTTGGTTTCTGTCCTGGAACTAGCTCTTGTAGACCAGGCTGGCCTCGAACTCACAGAGTTCCGCCTGCTTCTGCCTCCCGAGTGTTGGGATTAAAGGTGTGTGCCACCACAGCCTGGCTTTTAAGTCCTCTCTTGCTAGTTAGTGTACCCTGGTGTAACCACCTCTACATCCTCTCCTGGCTGTCCCTGGTACCTCTACATAGCTGCTTTTGGAACAGCTGGCTAAAAAGATTCCCTTATTCCCCATTTTTTGCTCTTCCAATAGGGCAGGGGCATCTGTCCTGTACTCGGTCCCCCTTGCTGGCCCAGCTGTGGTCACCCTCAGCAGAGGCTCAATGTCATGGCCTTGGTCACAAAATTAAGCAATATGCCATTGCTTTGACTCTCAGCTGAAAAGAGACCCGCTCTCTTCCCCTCCCCACTGCAGGGCACCTTGATAGACACACACCTTTCTTTCTGGCAGTATCATCAGGGTCTAGATTCCTGGTCACCGTGACGACCTTAAGGACGAGGTGATTCCCTCCCTGGCGGATCATGTTCACCACCTGCCGGTGGCCCACCTTGACGACATTTTCATTGTTAACCTGCAGGAAGAGAGGCATGGCAGGTCAGCAACACGTAAGAGCAGGCAGGGGTGGAGAGACATGGGCTGCCAGCATCCTGCAGGAGACTGGAGGGTGGGGTCTTTGGTCTTTGTGGATGAAAATTTGCTTTGGGGAGGTCAGCATGTGTGCTGCTGTGGCTGCAGAGGGCACCACATCGTGAGGTGTGGGAAGCCTCATCTAGCGTCCTCTCCCAGGCCTGGTGGATCCTGCTTAACAGAATTCCCAGGAGCTGTCCAGATCTCCAGGGCTGGGTGCAGCAGCCGCTCTACCCTTTTACAGCGAAGCAGAAACCTGGTTCCTCTAATTGCTTCTCCTGTGTTTTGGGCCATTGTCTCTGGGCATTATTCCCTGCCCACCCCACCCCACACACTGAGGTGGAAAAAGTATTAAAAGAGTTGACGAATCTGCTCCGGTATTGCAGGGAAGAGAGAATACTGCTCCATTGCTTCTGGGAGAAGGTGTGCACTTGGACCCCAAGGCTGCTTCTATAAGCATAACTCTGAGGCTCAGAAACTCTGGGTTCAGAACCAGGCCCTCTCCTCCCATCCCCAGAGAAGAAGCAGATACAGATTCAAGCATAGGTAGGGCTTGGCATCAGCCCCTTTGCCAAGCTAAGCCCCACAGCAGACCCCCAGACCTTGTCCCCAGAAGGAAGTCAGAGCTATATGGATGGGCAGATTGGAAGCTGGGCACTGTGAACATGCCTGTCCCAGCACCGGGCCTTCCCATCATGATCATCAGAGGTCAAATCTTGCCCAAGTGTTGGGCATCATCTTAGCTACGGAAATGTAAGAACACAGGCACTTTCCCCCAAATCCCCAAACCTCCACTCTTCCACAGTGATACAGGTGGGAAGGCAGCCCCAGGAGCCCCAGGCAGCCCCTCAGCTCTGCTGTTTGCTCAGGAGCCATCCACCCTCCCTGACCTCATCCGTATGGTCTTGTGACCCTTGCCTTTGGTTCTGTTTGCTTTTGGAGTTCTAGAAGGGGACAGAATGGACCCTGCATATTTCTGCTATCAGGGTGTCCATGGTAAATCTATGCACTGAACCCTGGGCTGGGCTCTTGGGGTTCAGCTTTCTGATCATAGCTAGGATTGATACCAAGCATTGACCTGTGGCCACATTCTGTAATAGGAGTAAGTTATGAATGGGACCTGCTGCCAGCCCTCCTGAGCTGGAGGAAACACACTGAGCTGGCACAGCTCAGAGGCAGGCAGCTGTCCTGTTGACCATCTTCCCACAGTCTATTGAGCACAGGTGTGTGCCTATCAGACAGACATGGATGTGAGGGCTGAGCTGGGTAGCTGGGAGCCCTTCACTGCCTTGGACTCAACTTGGGAAAAGTCACTAGAAAGTGCCCTAAGGGCCACAAAGCTGCTGGAGCCTGAAGCACGCAGTCCTGGTGACACACACTTGTCATTAGACAAATTAGGTCAAGATGCAGAAACTAAATCCCAACCCTCCCAAAGTAGCTGTGCTAGACTGAGGTTACAGGAGTGGAGCTTATGGCTTCACTGGGCGTTCAGAGGTTCCTTATGGCTTCACTGGGCATTCAGGGGTTCCTTATGGCTTCACTGGGTGTTCAGGGGTTCCTTAAGGCTTCACTAGGTGTCCAGGGGTTCCTATGGCTTCAATGGGTGTCCAGGGGTTCCTATGGCTTCAATGGGTGTTCAGGGATTCTTTATGGCTTCACTGGGTGTTCAAGGATTCTTTATGGCTTCATTGGGTGTTCAGGGGTTCCTTATGTCTTCAGGGGCTCAGTAAACTTGCCAGGCCCAGTAGGAACAACTGTCACAGCACAGAACAAATCCCTCAAACCATGTGCATGAATCTCACCTCAGAGGTGCCTGGAGCCTTTGTGACTTCTAATTAGGGGCTTGTCTCATTACTGTGCCAAAACACCTGACCCAGGCAACTTAATGAAGAGAGAGGAAGAGTTTCTTTGGCTCGCAGTTAGTGAGGGCACAGTCCATCACGGTGAGAGAGTCACAGCGGCAGGTGCATGAGGCCCACTGCATTTAGTCAGGGAGTGGAGAGATGAACGGTGGTGTTCAGCTTTCTTTCTCCTTCTTATTCAGTCAGGGGCCCAGCCCATGGGATGGTGCCGCCCACGTTCAGGGAGGCTCATCCCTCCTCAGCTGCCCTTATCTAGAAACTCCCTTGGATGTGCCCAGAGGTGTGTGTCCTCTGTGAATCTATATCCTTCAGGCTGAGAGTGCTACCCTCAGAAGTGTTCAGGTCACAAGGGTGACTTATGAATTGACTGATACTTTCTAAAAAGGGCACTGGGAGCTCTCTGGCCTGTCCCCCTATGAGGGACCATTGAGGGCACAGCAGCCTGCAAGCCAGGATTCCCAATGCCTTCCTCTCAGTCTTCCAGCCTCCAGAGTAGGGAGAAGACACCCTCCAACTGTGCATGTTAGTACAGAATAACAGCTGAACAGCCTTGGACACACCCAGTAACCAGCTGCACTGTGCCACTGAGGCTGGAGCTGGCTACCACCCTTCAATCAAGGCCCTTAGGAACCAGTGCCCTTCCTGCCATCCCTCAGTTACAGGGCTCCGGGCCTGAGGTGGGAAAAGCAGCATCCCTGTCAGCAGCTTTTCTGGGAGTGACCAGTGATGGCTGAAGGGAAGGTGAAAGCCAGGGAAGAAGCTACAGTCCCCAAGTCCTGCAGAGGTGACAGAGCAGCCCTGGAACACACTCGCAAGGGCTACTACTGCTATGGAGAGAATGCAGAGAGGAGGGGACAGTGGGCAATGCCATCCAGGGAAGGGGAAGGCCTTGCAGGCAAGTCCTGTAGCTCCACCTCCCCCACTTTGTGAGGGTGCTATGGGAGCTTGGGCAACGACGGGCAGCTATATCGCTAAAAAACTTCTTCTCCTGGCACTGGTTCTCCTGACTAGATACCTTGGCAACCATTAACAGTCCGTAAATATCCAGGAAGGGGCGTGGCCCTGTGAGCCCCTCCCTCTAGCGATCCTTAACAGTCTATACATTCTTGATAGGCAGGGAGTCATGAGCCCCTCTCCTCTCCCATGACGGAAAGCAAATGGACCCAGCCTTGGGTAGCCCTTGGAAGGCACTGCCAGGTCCAGAGGACACGTCATGCGCAGAGGACAGTAGGACTCAATAGTGGGGTTTTGCAGGGACGCATGGATGTGGGTCCCTGAGGAGACACTTCCCTAGGAGCTGTCTTTCCAGGCTCCTTCCTTGTCTGCATTGATGCACTGGTGTCCATTCTCCCCAGGGCTTCAGAGAACTGTGTTTCCTTCCTTTCCCACACTGGGGATGAGAGAGCCCATCTGCAGGAAGAGGACAGGAGTGTCCACGCCACTGTCACCTCCACACTGGGGAGTACTGCTGGGTATGTCACTACACAGAGCCCCGCCCCAGGCTGGGCTTCAGAGTCACAGAAAGACTGGCTGCTCCAGGTGCAGAGGCACCTGACACGGAGCTCTGGGCTCTGGTGTTTGTCCTGCTGGGTTTCCATCTTGCTTTGGCATGGATTTCCCCACTACACCACATTTCTTCCCTTTGAAATGGTAATATATATTCTTTATATTACAAATTACATGCTGGAAGCATGTAATTTGCTTTTTGATTTTACAGGGGTTACAGTTAAGAGATTTGCCTTGAGTCTCCGAAGAGGTTTTAGACTTTAAACAGTGAACAGACCACAGGGACTTTTTGAAGTTGGGTTAAATAAATGGATCTTGTATTATGGTATGGCCATGAACCTGTATGGGGGCCAGGGAGGGGGACGTGGTGGTCTGAGTGAGAAACATCTTTCAGAGATTTGGGCATTTGAACACTTGGTTCCCAGCTGGTGTCACTACTTGGGGAGGTTTAGAAGGCGCGGCCTGGCTAGAGGAAGTATGTCACTGGGGTGAGCTTTGAGACTATACAGCCTCACCCCACTTCCACTTTGCTTTGTGCTTGCTGTTGAAGATGTCAGCTCTTAGCACCCCACTCTTGCTGTCATGACAGCTGCTGGCTGCCATGTTTCCTGCCATGACAGACTCCTAACTCTTTGACACAGTTAGCCGATGTAAACTCTTCCATGAGTTGCTTTTGGTTATGCACTTAGCCATGAAAAGTAACTAATACTGACAAGGCCGTACCCGAAATGGAGGAACGCTGACCTTGTGCCCCCCTCACTGTGTTCTTCATCCTTCCTCCTCTCTCTTCCTGCAGCCACGAGGGACTGAAATACTCTCCCTGACTGGCAAAAACAAAAATTAAAGCAAAAATCCAAAACAAACAAACAAACTTTGCATGGATTCTGCCCCAACCTTCACATATTACACAACCCAAATGTCATGGTGCCTAGGGAAGGGCTGGGCGAAGACATATGCACCATTCAATACAGGGACTCCTCACCAAGACCAGCTTCCAAAGACAACAGTCAGAAAAACTCAGGTGTCTCCTGACTGTTGCAGGAGCTCTTCCCGCTCCTTCAGCCAATAGCTGCTGAGATACCAGCCCATTGGGGTGTGGTCTCTCTCCCTTTAAAAAAGCGGCCATTTCCCTCTCCTCTCTCTCTTACTTCCTGCTCAGCTCCTGGAGACTAGATTCCCTTCCTGACTGTGCCCGAGGGCTGTTGTCTGGACCGGTGATCTGTAAGTTTTTTCCCCTTTAAATAAATAAGCATTCTATTAATCATAATTCCAAACTGGTGTGGGATTGTTTGTGACTTACGCCTTCACCTGACTACAACAGGGACAGAGGAGTCAAAAGTCTTTGCTGCCTCCCAGGCTACAAACAGGCCTAAAACAGTTTAGCCTGCAATGGGGCTTGCTCCTCCCTGATCTACTCACATTGCCACCCGGAACTTATGTGGTTTTAAGGTCTGAGCCTGCAATTCTGGTCTGTTACCACCAGGGGGAGATGTTCATGGGCGTGCTACATGTCACACCAGCAAGAAGGCTCCCACAAGCCTTCAGGAAGCCCCTTGGAGTTACCAATTTAGAGTAA